GAAATTTTAGTTTCTTGCAAAAATTAAAATTTTCCTCAAGAAAGTTAAACTCCAAAGTTAAACTTATGTAATCACAAATCTCGAAACTTTGTGATGTATCCTCTATTTGTCTCTCATCAGTCATTGCAAACAAAGAACATATAGAATCTACATGCCTTCTGGATCAGATTTGAAGGTTTCAATTATAATGTTAAAACTTGACATTGACCTGGGATTGTAATTTACAAATGCCCTGAGTTCAATCCTCACCCCAAGAAAATGAAGGAAAGGAAGGAAAGAAAGAAGGAAGGAAGGAAGGGATGAAGGAAGGAGGGAAGAAAGGAAAAAGAAGGAAGGAAGGAAGGAAGGAGAAAGAGAGAAGGGAAGGAAGGAAAGGGAAGAAGGAAGTCACCCTGAGACCAATTTTCACAAAGAATTTTAGAGCATTTCTTCATTTTCAAATCTGTATATCTAAATCTGCATAATGACAATAAACAACCTATAAAAATTCACACCTGTAATAAACTATTCAGTGATTTAGGTCCTTCTTATACACTAAATTATGGCTGTTAAGCATCAAATCACAGTGAACTTTGAAACTATTAGGAATTTGTAATTTAAATAGTTTCATTCAACCCCCTACTCCCAAATGTTTTTAATTAGAACAGACTTTTTAATTAAGTACTCCCATGCACAAAGTTGAGCTAATGATTTCCTTATCATATCAACCTCCCTTACAAAAGCAAATAATCATTGTGTCCAAAGAAATTATTTCTTTCTGACCAGGGTATAAGAATTCCAGTTCTGATTTGAATTGTTCAGTGTAGGCTCGGCAGGCTAAATGGAAGCAGCTATCCCTGAGAGTCCAGCAAGGAGAACACCCATGAGGCAGTTAGTGAAAGTCAGAGGCAATGAATTTACTCCAGGTGCTTTGTAGAGGAAAAGCAGTTTAATGAACTGCACACAAAATATTTATTCACACAAATATACAAATATCAACTCACCGAACTTTCATTTGGTAGTTCTGTGAAAAAGTGCAAGATTCTTAACCTCAAAGAGCCTTAATAGCTTTATTTGGAAAAGGCACAAAGAATAGCTGTTTCATTGAGTAGATGGGACATTTAGTCTTAAAAATCTATGCAGCACCTTGAACACAATAGGTCCTTGGAAAATATTAACTATACTGATAATAATTATTATTTCTATTAATGCCAGTTTACTTATAGTAAATCTCTTATCCATTTGGATATCAAGCAATGATTAGTAAACTTTCCTCAGCATCAAGAGCAAGCAGGAAAAATAGATTTCCTGAATAATGAAGACTTAGCTGTGGAAGCACTATAGGGATTCCAGTCATCTCTATTCTGCAGCTTGTTTTTGCAGGGCCTTCTCTTGCTGTTTGAAGAGTAGAAAAGAGAAAATGTTTTTGGAACCATTATTACATAGATAAAATATGGCAGAGTTTGAATTATAAGACCATATTTCCTTCTTAGCACCTGTGCCATTCAGCCTTATTCAGTTGGCTTGTTATCAGAAGCCTGACTATATCCTATAATTCAGAGACTTATACTTATCTCTCTGGATATGTCCATATGTGGTTATTACTGTGAGCTGCAAGGCTAATATAAGTTCTTTGGAACAATATAAAATTAATTTAAAAGTTTATTCATAAAGACTTTTAATTATCCACAAGTATGTTTTAATAAATGACAAAATCATAAAGTAGAATTTCTTCTAAAGTTAAGCTCTATAATGAAGAGAGAGCGATAGCTACTCTTCTACAGTCGATAACTGTCTCTAGCTGATCTAAAGCAGGAGATCTTTGATATTTAATATTAATTTTGGAAATAACCTCAAGTATATGCAGGTGGGAATGCATTTCATAGCTGACAATTGTAATGCTTGTTAGATTTGTCTATTTTTAAGGAACATTAGCAAAAAACTTAACAGAAGACATTTATCAAAAGTAGAATTGTAGCAGATCATGTATGTACTCAGCACGTAACTACTATATATATTATTTTTATGAACCCCTTTTATAGATTACCTATGCTATGAATACTTATACAATAATTATGATTGTGTTTTAAAAAATCAATGGGGTTTTATTTAAAATTTAGTTTTAGATAGACTTTAAAATATCCAATCTGCTTTATTTATTAAATGGGCATATTAACTTTTCTTTAAAAGTTTAAAGGGCAAGCATCATGCATAAATGGTCTCATTATAATACTGACAGGAAAGAGATGTGATGGTGCTTTCATAGGTCTTACCTTCTAGTAAGCTCACTTTACATAACAGTGAGATAAATTCTATGCAGCTAATTCTTGGGGTGCATGTACTGGAGAATGAATAGCACAGTTCTAACTAGAGAAATTCAATAGGAAGGAGGAAAAGAGTAAAAAATGAAAGGGAAAGACAATTCATTTCTAGACTTCTAGGAGAGCAGACTGCATATTCTGACACACCATGGAACTTGATATGCTGTAGAACAGAGAGGAGGACTAAGGTCTTTTGAGAAAGGGGAGATGTTAATTTTGTGCAAATTGTAGTTTTTCATGGGTTATGTAAAAGATCTCACTTAACGGCATTTGAATTTGGGGGAAGTTGAGAAGTTCTCTCTTCCCCTTGCCGAATCATAGGGAAATGTTCTTTCTTTAAAAATTGGAATAGGAATGATGCCGCAATATAAGTGAATTCATGAAAATACTAATACAATTGAAAAGAGAGCTTAGTGGAATAAACAAATTAAGAAACTAAATATTAGAAAACTTGTATCAAATTATTAGCAATCTGCCTCTTCATTTACTCTTATAATCTCACTAATTTGTTTTTAAAAATGTATGTTGCCTTCTATAGTAAAAATTATTTGAATCAAAATTATCTTTAAAAAGTATCAGTTTTAACCAGGTGGTAATAAATTTATGAAAGACTGAAATTTTTAGCTAATTTTTGTAATATCAATTTTATTAGGTGAGTTTACAAAGTGAGTAGTGGAAAGTCCTGCTAAGCCAAAACTACAAATAATTGTTAGTGCACTTATATAATAAAGTAAGTAAGGAAAGCACAGTTGTGTATTTGATTGCACAGGTGGTTGCAATCACACTAAGTAAAAAGAATAAATTAGATTATATTCCATACAAAAACAATGCATATTTCATAGCCTATCAATGTGGCACTATGGTATTTGTACTTAGAAATTTTCATCAAAATTAAATGACTGACACTGAGATTTGATTAATACTTGTTTTAGGAAATTCTTATTTTTATTTGCTATCACAATCTCCACTGCTAAGCTATACTAATATTTACTGTTAATGAGAGGCTACCGTTGCAGAACAAAGAAGGTTAAAACATGTATCTGTGTTAGATTGGTCAGCATGATTTGTGCATCTCTTTTAAGTCATTCTTCAAAACTGGGGCTGGGTATGATTAATAATGTATTTTCATTTATGAGTCTTTGGTTATATACTATATCCAAAAATGTACACAATTTTGGCAGAACAGATTTTCACTGTGATTGTACGCTTCAGTTATTCAGAAGAACTCAGATGTATGATTGCTGAACTGGAAAGTTGAGGATATTTAAAGACTTTCATGTAATTTCTATCATTATTCTTAAATTGGAACTGGATTAATTTTAGAGAGGCAAGAATAATATTTGACACAATTCTAATCTTATCTCATGAGCATTTCTGCCTTTCTTGGGGAAGAATGGTGGATTTTGGATGTTAACACAATAAGTTAAATATATATTTACATATGTATGTGTATATCCATATATAAATAATTCAATACTTTTTGTAAGCCATATTAAAACTGCCTTTAATTGATTCATTTATTTAACACATATTTATTGAACATGTACTAGGAATTAGAGATATGTGAATGACTAAAGCAGAGATCCATGTCATCCTGAAGTAATAGTCTCATCCTACAAATTAAGCTAAGCTAAGAAAAATGTGAGATAGGAATATAGAATTTGGGTATATCTATATTTCCGTGAAGCAAAAAATGATTTACTATTGATGATTGTGAGTTCCTTATCTACAGTAGATTGTCAAAACATTGATCAGTTAAAGGTGAGCTGCATAAATAGTTACAGTACCTTTTCTATTTCATGAATGTATTGTGGGTTATTTCTATTTTCTTATATCTCAACTCTTGAAACTACCTATAATTTTGCAAAAATTCATATGACAACATTTATTTTTCAAAGCTTAGGAAATTTTCCTTTTCTGATCACTACCTTCTACTATAGGTATTAAAAACTGAAATTGAGGCATACTTTACACAAATATATCCACACCATAAAAGAGGTTACAGCATGATATATGTGAACAATAAGCTTATGTTTTGTTTTGGTTTTGCATTGAATTTTTAATTTCCCATTTCTTGTTTCTGTTTTACTGAGCTTATTCAATGTGTCCAAGATTTGGTTTCTTTCTTTTTTTCACATAATAGTGTTTTTTCATTGGTAAAAGTTGAGCAATGTATTCATATCTTTACTTTTATTTGTGGGTTAATCTCACTTCTGGAAGGAAAGGCTATAGTTCATTGATAGTGATGAAATAACCTTGGTAGCTTTCATATAAACAGCTACAAATGTGCACAATACTTACATTACATGGGCGCTCAGTCTTTCGTGATGAAGATACACCTGAGTGCATTCAGAGAAAATTTGGTTCTGCAAGCTTGGAGGAAGTAATTGTCATTCAACAGAAATGAACTAACTTTGCATATCAGTAAAACACACACATATAATTCTTATCAATTTTCTGAGTGCTCTGGAACTGATATTAAAATAGCAAATATATATTTATGAGAACCAAAACGCTGTATTCTTCTTGATCACCTAAACTCAGTTACAAAATTAATTTTCAGAATATATGGAACTATTACTTCCTAAGTAAGTGTCAATAACAAAAACCACAAATTTTATATGAGGCTACATAGTATTTATATTCATATTTGTGTCCCAAATGCTATGCCATTAATTATTTTCTATTATTTATTTTTAGATGGAAGACTGTATTTGAAAACTACTGTCATGTACTGAATCTATCCTGTTGAAGAAATTCATGTTCTACTAAAGAACTTTGCAGTAAGACATTCGTCATCAGAAAGTTCAGAAAAAATAAAGTCCTTTTAAGGGAACTTCCTCAATTTTGTGTATTAATGTTCTCTAACATTTAAGTATTCTTCAGAAAAAAAAAGTTTTCTCCATTGATTTTCACCTGTGGTTCATACCAGAGACCTGAGAATGTTTGTAAATGTACAAAATCAAACTTCTTACAGTTAATAACTGCAACTTTGCTGCTGGACGCTTGTATACAGAGTTAAAAGAGGGTCTGAATAAGACCTAGCATTTTTTTTTAATGGAATGAACCATTTTCCTCTTCTGAAAATTCTGTATCTGAGCACATCAACAGACTCTTATAGCAGTGGTCACCCAGACTTACAGAATTATGTCCCACAAAAACCAGCAAGAAGACGTGGAAATGAACTTGTAAGGGGCATAGAGGATTCTGAAAAAAAATTAAAGAGTGATATTCTGTTACATTCAATTTTAAACTCTAAATGTGGGTTTTCTCCTGAAGATTTTTTTCACATACTTTCCAAAAGACCAACAAATGGATGTCAACAAATCAATGAATATACATTTTGCTTATCTAATGAAAAGAAGCATTGAATATAAGCCAAAAGGTTTCACTGAAGGTCTCTTTTCTTAAAAATAAAAAAAATATATAAATATAACATGTTTTCATTCCAAACTGGTAGTGGTATATAGGATTAAAAATAATAATGTTGCTTCTTATTCAACCTGTTGGTCACATGTACAGTATATAAACATAAAACACACAAGGAAGGTATTATGTATGAAGTAGTATACTAGCATTTAGGAAAATGAAAATTTTAGAGAATATGTTTTGTCACCCTGTTGGTCAGAAAGCTGTCTTTCTGGTTTTAACGCATGAGGCATGTAAATATTTGTCTGGAGTCACAGTATTAATGAACAAGATCGTAAGCATCTGGTGACATCAGAACTCTGTGTCAGCCACTTTTATTTGTGTATTCTTCGCCAGTCAGTGCTCCAAACTGCACTATTGAGAATGGATTGTGGCTGACCAGTAAAGCAAAACACCAGAAATATTTTTATATGTTAATGTCATATTATGTTAATGTTGCTGAAAAACAAAACCTAACAAGCCCTTGTGTATCAGTCCAATACCATGTAACCCTGAGTGGTAAAGTTGAACTGTGTCGTGCTTCCCACCCTGGTCAGAGGGAAGGGTGGCTACGTGTTATTTTCACTGTCTCTTTGAAAGTTATAGTATGTGTTTTCACTTTTGTGCAGATAACTGGAAGTAAAAGCTGCAAACAGTGCTTATTACATGCTGAAGTTACCTTCTCTTTGTTTTTATAATCTGGAGTTACACCTTTAAAGACTGATAAAAATCAGTTCAGCCATTGTACATTTTATGATTTTTCTGTCATCTTAAAATCTTATGATTATAACATTATTTATTACCATGAAACAACAAAATCTTAAGTGTCTAAGAAAACTAGCTTAAAATGTTTAAAGATAGTTCTGATTGGGTAATAATTATTTGGTTAAGAAAAAATTAATATAGATACTCTGGCACTAAGCGTCTATCCATTTTAGGTCTTTTTATTATACTGGAAGATAATTCTTTCATGTAACTTGCTATTAACCAGATTAGTCCTCTTTTTATTACAATAAACAGGTTATATGTACAGTTCATACTTTAGCTTGCTTTAAAAGGGAGCAATATCTTTATTTAAAATATTGTTAGTAAATGTTTTGTAGAAACTTGGTTTTCTAATTATAGTTCTTTCATAAACATCTTTCGTTGTTTGAGCACAAGTGATTCTATTCCTAGTTATATATATTTTTGTTTGCTTGTTTTTTCCCTATATACAGTCTTTAAAGGATTATAACACTTAAGATTGGATGGACTTGTGGCAGGTTTCAGAATCATACATTTTTTGAAAGATTTTTTAAAAAGCCTACAACTTCCATATATAGTAGAATCAGCCATCGCTCTGCTCCTGGCATAGAGTCACCTATTAAGTGAGGTTAAATAGTTTTAAGATACATGCTTTCAAGACTTTGAGAATGCTTTAGTGTTTGGTTCAAGATAAAAGGAAATTTTAGCAAGGATTAAAGAAAAAAAGCTGTCAGCTATATGTTAAGAGAGAATCTTACTAACATGTTGTAAATATTACAATTCACAAAATGTTATTGTAAGTCTGTAACTTAATTTTTTCCCTTTTTTTAGTTAAACAGATTGGTTTAGAATTTGTGTTTTGGCATAAATAAGTAAAATTGTGCCCATTTTATGGTTTCCATGCTTTTGTAATCCTACAAATATTAATGTCTAGTTGTTCTATATTATAACCACATTTGCGCTCTATGCAAGCCCTTGGAACAGAACACACCCATCTTCATGTAGGACCTATGAAAATTGTCTATTTTTATCTATATATTTAAAGTTTTCTAAAAATGATAAAAGGTTATTACGAATTTTGTTGTACAAAATCTGTACAAAAATCTGTTTTTACATCATAATGCAAGAATTGGAAATTTTTCTATGGTAGCCTAGTTATTTGAGCCTGGTTTCAATGTGAGAACCACGTTTACTGTTATTGTATTTAATTTTCTTTTCTTTTCAACAATCTCCTAATAAAAATGTCTGAAATCTCCTTGTGACTTTAGTTACACTTCGTCTTTATTAAATTTTGTGAAACGCATAGCATTGAAGGAATATTTACTTTCTAATGGGAGGCATCTAAAAACAACACAAGTCAGCTATTTGCAATGCGAAGGGAACAATGCTCAATGATTTTATTTAACATGCAACTGCTTCTATCTCTAATATGAATTACTGTGGTGAAAAACATCATAAAAGCACACTCTGTAGTTATTGTTTAACAAGCAGATTTTCCATATTTTGTTTCTTGCCAGCTAAGCAAACTGCCCACATATACATGATTTATTTATGTACATTTCTCAGTTTATGAAGCTGTTATTTGTACCTTTTTCCTTTATATTCTTATATTCCCATGATTCTTATTTCACAAAGCTTTGTGCTGAATAATGTAAAGTAGACACATTGATGGAACAAAATATATTATTCCCATATCTTTAAGAGTGTAGATTTGTAACTCTAACTCGATGTTTTGCATTTGAATCTTATCATTGGAAGAATGCTTTTAGTAACTTGCAATTACAATATGTTTTCCTAATATATAAACATTTTAATCAACTTAAAGTGCAACATTTGAAGAAATATTGGGTTGCTATCGCTATGCATATTCTAAACATTCCAAAGAGAATGGAAAATGCATTTTTTTCTGTTTAAAGGAGTTACTTCAATGATTTCTTGAAATACTATATTAACAAACTATGATTTTTCTTTAATAAAAACCTAAAATGTTTATGTAACTATTACAAAAACATTTTTGTCTTCTGTCATTATGTGCTTATGTCAGTAAGACTTGTATTATAACATCATAAAACCTCTGGATATTAGTGGAATTCAGTGATAATTTGAGTTTTCCCCCATGTGTCTTCATTGGAACTCACAAGTTTACAGTCTGCAGAAAGCCATTTATTACTGAGAGTATCTCAAAAATGTAAATTATATGGAGATATTAATAGAATTAAGATGTTATTGTAAGCAGAAATTAAAAATATCAATTTTCCTCATGTGCAGGCTTGGTGCTGACATTAATCTTTAATATGTATAACTGGGGTATAAAAACTGAGTCAGTCCTCATTTATTCAGTCAAACAGATTCGTTAATAAAGCCTGCTGCACAAAACCTTGTGCTACATGTTGTAACAACAGAAGTTGAAAACAAAGCTGTTGTCCCGGGGGGCTGGTGATTTTGGTGGAATAGGGAATCTTATTTTTAGGAAGAAAGGTTCACTGAGATTCTTTGTCTCTGAGCAGACATAGAACTGGTACGAACAGGGTATTAGCATAAACACCTTCCCAATAGGTCATAATAATAGTGTGACCCACTTTTTACTTCAACCTTGCAGATAACAGTACAAGATGATTTGGTGGGGGTCATCCAAATGGGATTAAGAAAGGGGAAATATGTGTTTTTCCATAGTAAAACACCTTATCAATTATTCCTGCTACTTCATTTATTTCAATCAGATCATTCTTCTTATCAATAATCATACACTTATTAAAGATAAGTAACCTGTTTAATCACAGACAATTTTATCAATAAATAATACATTTGTGATATGTTTAGGATATTGACTATGAATATAGGATTTAATTCTTATTAGTTATCTATGCATCTGTAAGGCAAGTAATGGCCTAAAATGATTCAAAGATAGAGAATAAATTCATAAATGTCAATGACAAGGTCATGGTGCTATTTGCAGTATTAGCACCATTTACATTTAGAGGTCAATGAACTGGACATGCAGAGTAGAAGAGCTGGATCAGTTAAGACCCCTCTGGTTGTTGTAAGAAAAACAAATTCCTGCAAAGTTAAAAAGCGAACAGCATTTGTTCTAAAGACAGAGGGGTACACATGGAATATCAAGATAGGAAGCCAGTCCCCAAGGACTAGGTTCTAGACACTCTCTTCTACCTTCACCTTTCTCTTCTGCTCAGTGGCTCTGCATTTTCTCTCATCATAGACTTGTTTGCTTCTCTTGATCATCCCTTAGCTCCTCTATTATTCGGGAATATAAGACACTGCCTACAGAAATGAGCCAATCATTTTCTCTCTCTTGTCCCAAGTCAGATTCCTTCCAACATCTTATTTCCTCATGTTAGAGTATATACCAGTAAAGTACATGGGCAGTACATTCCATGCTTTTAGTAGATTTTCGAAACTATTGTGTCCAGTAAAATTTGAATCACTAGAGTTGTGTCAGGACATGGAGATTTTCAAAATTCTTTAGGTGATTAAAATGAATACCTGAAGTTGAAGACCACCATATGAGAGAACGTCAAGTATCACATTATAGAATATAGTTAGTGGGATTTCTGCTGTTGGTCAGGAATTTAGTTGGTGGTGAGGTAGAAGCTATTGTTAGCTGTGCAGACACTGTGAAAGCCAACTTAATAGTTCTTCAAAACCAAATATTTTTTGAAAAATAATTTTAGCATTATGAACTTAATTCTGAATTAAATATGACTTCTCCCATTAGGGTGCAATAGAAATCACACTAGTTTTCCTAAATAAAATTACTGATAAATCTGACCCCACTAACAACTGTATGGGGAGGTAAAAGTTCTAAGTCATTATGAGGTTCTCTCTCCCTAAAGTCCTTAAAATTTCCCCACTCTATATCATTTGGAGAGAACCTTCAGTTTAAGACCAAGACCCAGCCTATGAGAAGCAGCCCTAAATCTTTCTTCTTGAGAGACTCCAGGTTTGTGGAAGTAAAAATCATAGCATAATCTAGCATGGTTCCCAATGTAGATAGAGTAAATATGACAATTCCATTAATGATGAATATAAAGTCAGGTGAAAGGAGGTAGGTATTTCTACACTTTACTGCTATTGATAAAATGTTAGTCAACATAGGTAGACTGATAAGCTTTGCAAATATAATGTAATATCTAAAGCAATCACTAAAGGTGCTATTTTAATATACACTCAAAAACGCTTTTGATAAAACAGAATTCAATGATATATTGAATTAACTTCCAGATAAACAGTAAATATTTTCACAGTTGATTCAGAACGTTAAGCTACTTTATTGGTATTTTCCAATTGTTTCTCAGATGCAATCATATAAATATACAATTATTGAAAGCTGATCTTTCAAGAATTCTGTGTGATAAGCTTTGTCTATTTCACTAGTCAATAGATGAAAATAAATTATTGATATACCTCCAGTACTGTGTATCTCTATTTTCTATTTATTGTGTGTATCCACTTTTAAGAATATATTGTAAATAGATTTTTTAAAGAATAAAGACTTGAATGATTATTATTTACTTATTAAAATTATTAATTTTTAAAATTCTATTGTTGGCTTCTACAAACAGGTGGGAGGTGGGAGAAGATATCAGAACCAGTCAACCATTTTCTTACTAATGCATCCTGGTAAACTCATAAAAGAAAAGGGTCTCCCACTGTGTTGGATCTTTCAGATACATCTGTCTGGTTATCATATGTCTGGGTTCATTCATGCTGAATGGTTTGTGGATCTCTCCATTAGTATGTTTTGATGTGGTTTATACCTGGTTTTTCTTTTCCTACATACAACTACTATCAGACAACAAGCACACACCAGTGCCTAAGTAAGAGTGGGCAGGGGATCTTGGGAAATGAAGTTTCTACAGTATCAAAGAGAACAAGGCAAGAGCAGGGAATGCTATCAAAAAGCAAGCAAGTAAATAATCTAAAATGTGAGCAGAGTAAAGGGGAAGAAGTTTTAACTGACTCAGAAGAGAAGTGATAACTAAGCATCTGGATCCAACGGTCATCTAAAGTTGATTGTCAGAGTTTGGGCAGTTACACCCCTGTCCCTGGGGAACCTTTTTCCTGCAGTTGCATTGATGCAGACAAATGCACTTCCATTTTGGCTGACTTCTTCTTTATCTGCTAAATAGTCAGTCACCATCTGCTCATCCTTGCATCTATGCCACATCTATCCACAGTGAGTAGTGAAGCATTCTTACTCTGACAAATACTGGGGGTGTTGGAGCTCTCTCCCTATACAACAAACTGTTACAGTACCTTTGTCAGAGCAATAAATCAGATGTTATTTTCTTACTGTGAGAAACTCAACCATACGATGGACACTGGTTCTCTGTGTCCATTAACCTCTAAAAAACAATAGTCAGGTTCACAGAGTGGTCACACTGAGGTCTGTTCTCTAGACTACATGTGAAAGACAGACATCTGTCTCATCCTACAATGTTTGGAGATGTTTGTAACCAAAGGAATCCACAGCTCTCATCAATAGCCATCTTGTTACCTCTAATTCTTAACATTATTATCTTCAACCTATTGTAAAATCTAGAGGTGGAAGATGGACATCTGAGTTTTGAAATTAGTTTCCAGATATTTATTTGCAAGTTCTCATGATAATCTTGCATCTTGCCTTAAGATGTGATATATATTACATTCACTTAATAATTGATTAATTTTTTAAATTTAGAGATAATTTTGTATTATAAGCACTTATAAGAGAGACATTCTATGAACCTTTCATTAATTTCCTCCAACATGACATTTTGTATAAATATAATATCACAACCAAGAAATTTACATTAATACTGATTACCAACCTCATTCTGATTTCATCTGTTTCTTGTGGTTTCAGGGATCAAATTCAGGACCTTACACATGCTAGGCAAGTGCTCTGCAACTGAGCCACACCCTTACATGCATTTATTTGTGTGGTGTGTTTAGTTCTATAAAATTTTATCACATAAATAGATTCATATCACTATCCCCACCACACCCACCACAGTCAAGATACAGAATCATTCTATCACAAGGATCCCTCATGTTATATTTTTATAGCTATAACCACCAGCTTCACTTCCTACCTTCTTGAATATTGACAAATGGTGTATGACTCCTTTTGAGATGGACTTTTTGTTTTTGCATACTGCATAATGTCCTTGGGATCCCTAGAAGTTAATTGCAGTTGATTTCTAAAGATTATCTCATGGTTTTTGTATATGCCATATTTGTTAACCAACTTACATGTTGAAGGACATT